CACTCTTCGCGGTGTCGGTAGAACCCCTCAGAGTCTTCACCAAGGTCTGAAAATGTTTCCACTGCAGGGCCATCATACCTGTGGAGTCTTCCGTGGTGATACCACCGTAGAATACCGCATGTGGCGTCATAATAACTGACTGCAGGACCGCCGGCTCTATGACGGGCGCCGTTGAGGTAGTACTCTATGCTACCCCGTCCTATCCAAGCAGGTTCATTGACGCGATGAAGGCGACCTCCATAGCACCAGGCGGACACTCCCCTACTATCAACAAGAGCTGGTCCGTCCTCCCGATGGAGTCTACCATCGACGTGCCAAATTTCTTGCTGCGCGTTTTGATCTGCCAACTCCACAACAGTTCTTATTGGCGTCCGCCTTTCTATTAGTAAAGGACCCGTGGTGAGAGACCACGACCGGTCGTCCACGTCTACACCGAATGTATCAGCCATATCTATTTACTGAGAATAATGTAACAACTCCTCCACAAACGCTTCTACAACTGACGTCTTCTTCATCCTGGTTTTTTCCTCTTGGTGGTTTTGGATAAGAGTTGAAAAGTCCAAAAGGTCAACTGATGACCTTTGCGTTACTTGGTATGATTGGGTTTTAGCGGGTGATGTCGGTATGCAGCTGGGGAGCGGATTCGACAGGAAGAAGGTAAAGGTCTTGCTTTGCGGTTCACACCTTCACTTCAGTATCATTATCCTGAAAAACAGTCTGTAGAAATGACGTTCACGTGTCATTGCGGTGTTCGCCTTACAGGGGTAATACCCCTGTTTCAGCACCTGAGGCGGTGCGTCAAGCGCCGCCTCTTTCTTATCATATATTGTGATACTTGGTAAGTGTGCAGTGCTCCTAGCTCTCTCCCCCAACAAAAGAGCTCTATGACACTGTGCTTTCTGCGGTTTTTTCGTTTTTACAGTGGAGAAAGGCTGGTGGGAGGCCAAGCCGTGGCCGCACACCTGGCGGGTGCGGCCCATCGAGCCCGTTACTGGGAGGGCCGGCAGGTCGGGCTGCTGTTGCAGTCCGACTACCGGGACGCCATGGAGCGTATCAGGACCCTGTAAGTAAGCACTGCTCTGTCTACATGTATACTTATCCCCCTCGTTATAGCGATACTTACTTGTTTCGTATCCTCTTGTCTTACCCTGCTTCCGTATTCGTGACACTAATAGTGTTTGTGTGCGCTCATGCTTGGTTTTACAGATGATGATGATGTATGTATGAAGGTCTGGAGCTAGCTGCCGTCTTCGGGATGTGCCATTTGTTTTCAAAATTATTTGTAAGTACTTGTAACAGGCGTAGTGTAGTAACTGTGTGTGTAGTGTAGTAACAGTGCAGTCGTAATGTGTTTTGTGATGGTCCTGAGCGGTCGTAATGTGTTGGGCTACTGAAGTACACTGCATGAAGGGGTATGTGTGGGTGCTTCGACACATTCTCGTGCTTCCTAAACCCTAGATACGTGTATAGCACTATAACCTAGATGTGTGTGTGTGTTTGTGTGTGTGTGTGTGTGTGTGTGTGTCCGCGCATGCGTGCGTGTGCGTGCATTGTGTTCTCTTCTACAGACTCATCCAAGTCCATTTAAATAAAAGTGTATTATAGTAAACAGTATTGTGTTTTGTTACAGTGAATATGTGGGGAATGGTGGACATGCCTTAGTGCGACTGGATACCCGCGGGTTGTGACTCTTTGCTGGTCACTCTGGATTCTCCAGTATAAATTCGGTGCAGGGCAGAGGGGATTTGTGGTGCGTAGCAACACTGCTTCACTGTGACACCCCTTCAATAATTGTTTTGATGCATGATACTCCGGGCGTAGCCGGTTGATTCTAACTGAATTCCGATCAAAATAGAAATATGCATCTAATGTACCTGCATGGATAGTAGGCATTTCCCTAATCGGCCGGGCGAAAAATTCACCGAAAACAGTGGTTTTGAAGAAATTACCCATCTTTTCGCCGAATGTTCAAAAATTCGCATGTTGCATTCGCCGAAAACCGATGTTTCAGTGCTTCTACAGGGTGTATGTAAATGTACATGACGTAATGGGAACGGTGACTTCAAGTACTATGTTGAGCCGAATTCTGATCTTGGGGCTCATAATATGGCCGAATTTGAACATTCTCTTAACCGATCGAAAAGCCGATTAGGCATGCTCTGCATGGGCAACTTGTCAATCAGTGCACATCGACGATGTGCGAATAAAACGAATGCACGGAACGTGAACTTGTTTGCTGCACATCTACGAAGTGCGAATCAGGGAGTAGTATAATGACACGTGTACTAGTACACCTTGTGTTGCACTGCATCTTTTCCACACGCATAGGACCACTGAAGGTCACATGCTCCGCGTGCGTATGCGCGCATGCGCAATATGTCATTCGCTGCATGCAATGCACATCTATGATGTGCGAATCAGGGAATAGTACGTATTTTACTACTCCCTGGTGCGAATGCACCGAACGTGCACAAGTGCACGTTCGCCATCAATGGCGAAAAGAACCTTTATGGCACATTTATGACATGGCAGGGCCAAAGGTCGAACCCTGGGGGAGTCCCGGGGCCAGACCAAGCGCGCCCGACACAGTGTGCCTTATTTAACCCAAAGGTCAAAGGTCAAACCCTGGGGGAAGTCCCGGGGCCAGACCAAGCACGACCGACACAGTGTGCCTTATTTGGACCAAAGGTCAAAGGTCAAAAAGTGGCCCAGAACCCGCCCCGCACTAACTACTACCTTAGTCTAAAAAGAATATTGAAAGACTTGAGTGATTTTTTGACTATGTATTCAACATGCTCCGTCCAACGGAGGTCATGCTGAAAGATTATTCCGAGGTGTTTGTGTTTTTGTGCTACGGTAAGCGGACTATTCCTGAGGGTGATCTGGGGTAGCTGTTCAGGGGGGGGCGGTTATTGTGGTAGAACGGGAGGATGACTGTTTTCTTTGTGTTAACCAGCAGGTGCCATCTTTGAAGCCAGTCTCCAGCTGCTGTGACACTCTGTTGTAGGTTTCGGGTGCAGTCTTGAAGAGTTCTCGCTATGGAAATCAGAGCGGTGTCATCTGCAAACTGGCTACAGGTGGTGCTGGGATTCTCACATGCGTGTGGAAGGTCTATGGTGTAGACGAGGAATAGAAGCGGCCCAAGAACAGATCCCTGAGGGACACCGGCAGGGATCTCGAGGAAAGGCGATAGGTCGCCATCCACCTGGACCCTTTGCCGACGCCCCAACAGGTACCGTCGGAACCACTCCAGGGCGTTGCCCTGGACACCATAGTGGGAGAGTTTTGCTAGAAGGCCTGCATGCCACACACGATCGAAGGCCTTGCTTAGATCGAAAAAGCAGGCATTGACGTGTTTCCCGTCGTCTCTCGCAGTGGAGAGGGTATGGACGAGACGAGCGAGCTGCTGCTCAGTGCCGTCTTTCTCGCGGAATCCGGACTGCTGGTTGGGCAGGTGTGGTGTGATGTGCTTGTAGAGGAGTTGATGTGCAATTTTTTCTTGGATTTTTGATGTAGTGCTCAAGAGAGAGATGGGTCTATAATTTGTTGGTTGGGTTGGGTCACCCGGCTTGGGTACTGGAGTAATGGTGGCATCTTTCCAATCCTGTGGGATTTCTCCGGTTTGGAACGATAGATTAAAGAGGGACGATAACGACGGTGCAAGTTCCTTAGCCGCCTCTTTGAGTAGGCGGTTTGGAATAGAGTCAAACCCGGGGCTTTTGTTGGTATCAACTCCGCGGAGGAGTTTTTCGACCTCAGCTTGGGAAGTCGAGATTTCTTGAAGGGGACTGAGGATGTCAGGGGTGGTGTTGATGGCTGGAGTTTGCTCATCCGCATTGGCCACGGACAGCTTGCTCTGTGAAATGAAGAATTCGTTGAGGGCAGCGGCTTTTTGTGCTGGTGTCGTTGCAGGAGTTGCTTGGCTGACGAGTTCGGGTATGCGTTGTTTTGTAGCTGTAGTTAGGTGCTTCATGAGGCGGTGTAGGGAAGTAGAGGAGGCTGTTGAGTTGTTTACGAAATCCGATTTAGCACGACGCAGGAGGGTGGTGACACGGTTTCTTTGGGCAGTGAACGTGTTCCAGTCGTCATTCGAGCGTGAGTGAAGGTATATTCTGTGTTTTCTGTGCTTATCCTTGATCTCTTTCAAGAGGCCCTTTGATATCCATGGTCGTGCTGGCACGTTCTTCCTGTCCCAAGGGGGGTGAGTGCGAGTAACTTGGCAGTATTCTTGGGCGATGCTCAGGACATTGTCGCGCCAGGATCGCAAGAAGGTGTCAACTGGGCATGGGTCGTGTTGGTTTGGATGGTGGTTGAGATTTGTGCGTGAAAGGGCTTCTCGAAGAAGGTGGATAGTGCTGTCTGTCCATGACCAGAATGTGGTGCTTCTGGATCGTGGAGGGGAGTTGTTAATTATGGGGGGCAGTTGATTATTGATGTGGCCACTGATAGTAGTGTGATCGGATGCGCCAAACGGTGGAAGTGATTGGATATGAATATCATTGGTGTGGAGTGAGGAGATAACAAGGTCTAGACATGAGAGAGGCGTTTGTCGGTGGATGTAAGTAGGGAATCTGACATGTTGTGTGAGGCCGTATGTGTGTAGCAGAGTTTGTATGTCGTCCCCAAGGCGATCTGTTCTGTCTGTGGTGAGCCACGCACTGTTCTTGGCATTGAAGTCTCCAAGTAGTAGGAGGTCGTCACCTTCGGCTCTAGCGGTTTTGATGCTTCTTTCCAGTTCCGCACAGAAGAGGGTGCCATCGCTACGGGGTGGTCGGTAAATGTTTGCAACAACGAGGGAAAGGTTACCGGTCGAAATTCTCGTCCATATGCATTCTGCTGCTGTCATTGGTATTGTCAGTACCCTTGTGTTGAAACGTTCCGCTATGTACAAGGCAACACCACCACCATAGTCCTGTCTGTCAGCTCTGATCAGCTTGTAGCCTGGGATTGCATAGAGACTGTCAGGGTCTGATGTGTCAGCCCAGGTTTCCTGGACTGCA